ATTATTATTATTATTATTAATTATTATTATTATTATTATTATTATTATTATTATTATTATAATATTGTGATTTTCTTGTTTTCAAGAAAAATGAACGATATATTTAACAGGGAATATCACCAGCAGTGCACTACACAGGATACTGTTTTATCTTCAAGTGCCTCTGGTACTTTAATATATTAAAAAAGATTTGTCCAAAGGTTGTAGTGCCAGAAATGATATTCAGCTTCAAAGGCACAGTCACCCAGTGTGATGCACAATTTAATTTTTTTTTTTTTGTCGTGATTTCTGGACGTCAGAGACCTGTTCTCATTCAGAACTCAATGGCTCATGGTTCACGGGCCGATACTTGCAGTTCGTGTAGTTATTGATGCAGTTTGTTGGAAGAGAACATTTTAGTACTTAACGATAATTCTATTTTTTTGCACCTCAAACTACAGCTCTTTCCCGGAAACTCAAATAGAGACAGTATTGTGAAAAACAGTCTACAGGAATTTGTAAGTGCAAAGTTTATCCGATTTCAACCAACACAGAGAAAGGTATGGAAAGTTCTGAGAGTGGAAGTTTATGGAATACTTCTAACTAAAGGTATTTATTGCTGTTCTATTTGTTGCAAAATTGTCACACTAACCAATGATTCGCGGAAGGCAAGATTGGGTAATTTTACCAAGCTAAATGCCAGTTCAGTATTCACAAATATTTACATGTGCTGAGACTTGGTTGAATGGGAATTGGATATGCAAAATCTTTAATTCTTGGTTGAGCCTAAAATATCACAACCACTATCCTGGGATCCTGAAGGTACCTGTAGTGTATTTGGGGCTCGATAAACTACGATAGAGAATTACGTGAATTAGACCAAGAGCCCTAAACAACCGCTTTATTAGAATACCATAAGCTTAATTATATGCAACCATATATAACGATAATCACATGAGGGCGGTCAAGGGTGTGCTAGTCGATGAGTACAGATTATCTAATAGCTGAGGAATTTATCCAAATATAGCAACAAGCACCACACTTTTCCCAAATTAGCCTTTCTGCAACTTTTACTTTAAGAATGAAGAAAATGTCTTGTTCTTGTTGTATTTGGTGATTATGGTTTTCACAGATATAAATGGCAAAGAACTTCTCTGAATCGCTTCAGGATTCTGATTTTATTTTTTCCTTTTTTTCCTTTCACTTTTAAATAGAGATGGATTAATTTGCTTAATTCATATGATGTAATATAAATTTGTAAAATAAATCATATCTGTAGAAATCTAGCATTGGATTGATATTGTTGGTGCGTACAAGATTCCCTGGATATGCAGTATTTCTGTATAAAAGTACCCTTAATTATGTTCTAGGCATTTTTCCACTTAAAAAAACCAGGCCAGGTTGCACAGATAGAAGATTATTGGCAAATGTAAAAACAAAATGCCAGAGATGACGGTAAAATGCTGTAGCGTTGCAGTTTCTGGAACTTAGAGGTTTCCATGTCAACAAAGTTCTTAATCTCACGAATTGCATCTTCACACTCCATTGAGGAAGACTATAGTTCTAGTGTGAAGATCCAATCAACGTATCTGGTGATCCTCTACACTACTTTGTATATATGTACCTCCTCCTTAGTGTACCATTTTGGTTAATTACATATCCTTTTTGAAGTACACATCAATCTTCAACTAAGAATGGAAGCATGCTAATCTCTTGATGTTTGTTTCAGTTCCTTCAAAACCTCCTACTGCCCTCAAGTTGACTGCAAGTTCTCCTACCAGTATTATTGCTTCCTGGCAGTTACCACCAGTATTTGCGAGACATGGAAGAATCAAAGGGTTTAAACTCTTCTACAGAAAAAAAGAGTCTGGTAAAACAGCAAAAACTTCTGTTATTAACAATGGAACAAGATTTAGTAGAAATGTGTCTGGGCTTGAAAGGTACACTGAGTATGAATTCCAAGTGTTAGCCTTCACATCTTTTGGTGATGGACCAAAGAGTACAGTGAAGACAGAAAAAACAATGGAAGATGGTATGTGACAGATCAAGGACAGTAAGAACCTTTTAACTGTATTTTGTGAATTGTTGCATGTTCATGGTAGGTGTCCTGACAAATACACTATAGGTAACCAAACATGACGAGAAGAGTGAACAAGTAGATATTTGGGAATTGATTGATTACTTTGTTAAAAATTTGAAAACGTAATGGCAAATTTGTCCCTGTTGTGACAATTAGATTCCTAGATTTTCAATTTTTTTTTTCAATCAGTCAAATCTGGCAGTGTGATATTGTTATGTCTTGCTGATATATTTTAGCAAAAGCTAGCTTCTGTAGTACTTCGTTGCTTAAAGAACTACAAATATATAATATTCTATTAAATTAATCATTCACAAATCGCCCTAATCGACCCTTAACATGAAATGTACCACTAAGAGAAACGGCCATTTTTCAAATTCTTTTGAAAGAAAATGGGAATAATCAATATCCTGCATCTATGAGCTGTTCATTGTCACGTAAGAAATGTCAATTGAAAAAAGATAGGGAAAAAAAGTTTTAAAGTACTTTCTTTAGAAAAAAACCGACATCCTTTTCTGTGTGAAACGATGTCAGTTTACTAACATTTTGGACCCACTCCTAAGAAGAGTGAAAGAAATGATGTGACCTGTACCAGCATGGTTGAAAAACTGATATGAAAAGATGAAACACTAAGTAAATGCACCTTATTGGGCATGCATGATTTTCAGTTACATTACAACTTAGACCCAGTTCAGACGCCGATCTTTTCATGAGCCAAACTTAATTCCTTGAATTAAGTGCACGAAAAGATCGGTGTCTGAATCAATGTGGAACGGCTGTTTCAATCTGGAACGGCTCAACCGTTCTTCCCGCCTGGTTTGGCCAAGAATTTCGCCTTTGGAAAGCCTTTGGAACGGCTTTGATTCGGACGCCGTACTTTTCATGTGCCGATCTCAATGCATAAATTGTTTTATTGTATTTTGCAAGCAGTTTGACTGGTTTTACTGGAACTGTATTTGGAACAGCCAAAAAGAACGGCGTCTGAATCAACAGGTGTACTTTTGTTAATTTGGGTCAGTCCAAATTCGAATTGAGTTCGGCTCATGAAAAGTTTGGCATCTAAACCGGGTCTTAGACATTTGAAAGGAATACCTTGATATCTTTCTGGAAGAAAAGTCATTAGTAAAAGGTGCAGGTTAACTGCACCATTTATAATGTCCAGACACTCCATCTGCGATACTAATCGTAACTGCTCAATTGCAGCTCCTTCACAACCACCCACTCATTTTAATGTCATTGTGAACTCTTCAACCAGTGTCACAGCTTCATGGCAGCCACCACCAGAAGAATCCAGACATGGAATCATTGAAGGATTTAAACTGCACTATAAAAAGAAAGACTCTGGCTCAGCAACCGTCTTGACTATTAACAGTAGAAAAACATCAACAAGGGTTACAAAGCTTTATAGATACACAGAATATGAATTTCAAGTGTTAGCGTTCACTTCTGCTGGTGACGGACCAAACAGTTCCGCTGTTTTTAGGACAACAATGGAAGATGGTGAGAAGCAGAAGTGCTTTAACTAACATTTCAAAAATAGTACCATCATAGTTGTTGAGAAAAAGGTGATGTTACTGATTGATTGAGGTTGATAGCTCTCAATTGTGGACTCCAGTCCTAAATAGTTCAGCTTGCCTCTTCAATTAGTTCTAAACTCGGTATTAATGAGATCTTCTTCTTCGTAAGGCGTTGTGATTAATCATGCAATAGTTTGATTTGATGACTAGAGTTGTTCAGGTGCTGAGATGAACCTAAACTCAACTTAATTTTTTTAGATTATCCCTTTAACTTACCAGTTCCTTTAACACTAAAATAGGTTGGCAGTACATCCTTGTGTTACGTTTTTACAGCATACTGCAACATGCTTGGGATTTATTGTTGTTTTCAGTGAAACAAAGCGTACCCCGTCAAGATTAGATGAATGAATTGATCCATGAATTGATAAATGAGTGGATGAATCCGCTAGTAGTTTCAAGAATGCAATAACGAATTTAACATTTGGTCATTGAATCCCTAGTCGTTTCAGAAATGCAGTAATGGATTGATTATTTGAATATTGAACCCATTTGAAAAGGCGCGGAGCATTGTTAAAATCAGAAATCGACCTCTGATTTGAATAATGATCCACGCAATTTCAAAATGGTTTTAATATTCAAATAATCAATCCATTATTGCGTTCTTGAAGCGGCTGGTGGGTTCAATATTCAATTAATTGATGTAATCTTGAGGGGTACGCTTCACTTGGTTTGACCATAATACACTTACATGTAAAGATTTTCCTTCTAATTTTTTCGTCAATAATCACATTATCTCTGTTCTTCCAGCTCCCAGTGAACCTACGTCTTTGTCTTTTGTTGATGTGCCACCCAGCAATTTGCATGGTCCAAGAGTAGCCTTGTCGTGGAGTAAGCCTACAGAACCGAATGGAGTTATCAAAAGTTACACTTTGTTTTACAGTCACGGTGGAGATGCACCAATAAAGATTACTGGAATAGGCAAAGATGCATTAAGTCGTACAGTTGATGTGTTGGGTGGAGTTAGTTACCAGTTTCATGTCAGAGCTGTCACAATTAAACCGGGACCAAATGGGACGATAACTGTACCTACCAAGGAATATGGTAAACTGTGCTTTCAAAATAAACACAGGATTACGAAAAAAAAAGCGGTGATGGGCTAAATTGGTTTTCCGTATGTCTTGATTGAGGTTGATAACTTCAGCAGAAGTACATATCTATAGATGATTCACCTATACCACTTTACAATACATATATTGAATAATAAACACGAATAATTAAATTAGAGAATTACTGAAAATAAGTTCATAAATGAATAAATAGGTAACTGATAACCGCCTCCCAGTTAGAACCGCCTCCCAGTTAGCTCAATGGATAGAGCACTGGACTGTTGTGCGGGAGGTCGAGAGTTCGAGCCCCGGCCGGACCAACACTCAAGGTCTTAAAATAATTGAGAAGAATTTGCTACCTTTCTATAACATCAAGAAATGGTTGGATATTCTAGTCTTCTCGGATAGGGACGAATAAATGGAGGTCCCGTCTCCTGCAGGGTTGGAGGTAGGAGACGTTAATTTCCCACGCACGAGATTACTGTGTGATGGATGTCCTCCCACGGGCTGGGATGGGTGGGTTTACTGGGCCCGCTCTAATTGGCGCAAGCTGTTGCGGTGTCCCTGACGGTCGGCGAAGCTAATAAAATAAAATAAAATGCTATTTGTTTATCAATCAACCAAAAAATGTTTTGCTTTTTGTTAGCTGACAACGAAGTTTCAACTGTGACTTTACTTTATTGAAAGTTCTTGGTATTTCTCCCCCAATTATTGAACAAATATTTCCACTTTGTGAATAGAATACCAAACCATACTTTTCCAAAAAGTAGCTATCCTGTCTTTTAATAAGTGTGAGGTTTTTACTCTATTAATTAGCACCCAGTGTTGGTCCAAAACCTGCCTCACCCTCTCAAGTGGAAAAGACGACTTTTAACATTTCATGGGAACCTCTACCAAGAGAAAAGAGTTTTGGAGAAGTAATTTTGTATGAAGTCAGGGCCATCTTCTTGGAGAAGGGAAATTTACACAAAAGATCTGTCAGCAACAGCCCCTCTGCCAATACGTCAACGACATTTGTGGTCCTGTCTGACCTTGAGCTTTGTACTAAATATAATGTCTCTGTTCGAGCTTATACTAGAGCAGGGCCTGGACCCTATGGTAAACCTTTACAACTGGAAACATCAAGTGAGTTTGATGAGACTTTTATGAAAATTATCTTGGTTTGTGACATGATTGGTGAAAAACAAATTGTAAAAAAAATTTAACATAGTGATGGGGTCAGTTACATGTAAGTTAGATGGTTCAGAAATGTTAGAGCTAAAATTACATTGTCTGGCAGAGTACGACTCATTATACTGCGCCTGCTTCCTGGTAAAAAAGCAAGTGACGAGAAAGATTGAAGCTAGAACTGTTTTCAACTTTTAAACAAGTGGTGCACTTGTTACATTTGATGGATTGTAGTCAGTAATTAAATTCCTAGTCAGGGCAATTTTTTTCTGTCACAACCCTATTGGGTTAAAGTACAACTTGATCTTTATTCGAGCTGAACTTTTTTCTTAATAATATTTGTTTCATAATTTTTTTTCTATTTCATTTTATTATATGATCACTGAAAATTTTCAAACAAGCATTCATTACATGATTAAATTATTTGCTTAAGTTATTCTGACTCAACAACTTGGACAAAGTACTTTAGAATTTTCTAAAACTTGTTTTTCCAACATAACACCAAAGGACCTGAAGCACCAGAGGAATTTAAGGCAACGGCAACTGGAACAAACCAGGTTACACTGGCTTGGAAACAATATGATAAAAAGGAAAAAATTGAATACACTGTAAGTTGGATTGATATTAACGCATTTGTTGTCTTTGAGAGGAATTTGCGCACATGTAATTATGAATGGTATACCGTCCATAGTTAGACATGGTTTGGAACTGACCATTTGGATGAGATGTTATATGTATATGTATAGAACTATTGCTAATACTTATAAACGTGTACACCACAAGTATACCACAGAAAGTTCTTAAGATATTGTCATCGGTAGGATTTTGTCTCAATTGAAATTTAATTTTCAAAAGAAAAAACAACTCTTATCTAGATTTTCAAGGAAAGTTAACCCTAGTGAATGATTTCATTCATAGTGAGAGCAATTTCATCTTAGTTGCAACTTTATGTGGATAAAAAACGAAAGTCCTAATATTTTCGTCGTATCTGTGCACAATTCTCGCAATAAAGAGCACTTTAAGCAATAGTGAAAATCGCACCTGGAAAAATTCAAGCCTGTACGGGATTCGAACCACTGACCTCTGCGATACTAGTGCTGCGCTCTACCAATTGAGCTGACAAGCCAACTGGGAGCACTACATGCAGGTCATCAAATTAGTCCGACATAAACCTGCGAGATGATAAATCAAACACAACAATATATGAACTTCATATATCTGAACTGCGGTTATAGGAACGTATTTGTGCACGATCCTCGCAGTAAAGAGCACTATTTAAGCAATACTGAAAATCAGACCTGAAAAAATTCCGGTCTGTATGGGAATCCCGCACAGGCCTGAATCTTTTATGTCGGACTAATTTGATGACCTGCTCCCAGTTGGCTTTCTGCTCAATTGGTAGAGCGCTGCATTAGTATCGCAGAGGTCAGTGGTTCGAGTCCCGTACAAACCTGAATTTTTTCAGGTCTGATATTCACTATTGCTTGAATAGTGCTCTTTACTGCGAGGATCGTGCACAAATACGTTTCTTTAACCGCCGTTCAGAGATATGAATTTCATATATTAATTGTGTTTAATATTTTCTTCAGCACAAATTTTCCTCAATTTTTATATATTTCACAAACTGATCATGAGTTTGACAGGAGGCCGAATTGCACAAGGAAAAATATTAGTTTTCGTTAAATCCTATCCTAAGCTCGCTCTTCAAATATCACAAATTTTAACTGGACCGAATTAAAAGGTCATCACTCCAAAACTAATATCTTTTATCTGAACATTATCTGTTACTCGAAGTTTACAGGTTATGATGCTGTGTTAAAAACTTAACACTGTTCAAGCTTGCTCCCATCAGAGATTTTCGTAATTACATTAACGTATAACTTGACGTGGATTGTAGAAACATTAAATTTGAAATAATTTTAGAACTGAACCTGTTGTAATATATAATGAAGGTGAAGTATACTGGAACAAAGGACTACAATAAAACGTTCAAAGCTGTTGAGAAGAGTATAGAAAGAATAGAGACAACAACGAAGACTGTAACAGAATTGATTCCAGGCACCACATATGTATTTAAAGTTCATGGCAGTTCCATTTGTGGCGAAAGCATTTCTAAGAACATCTCAGTGACAACACATATGAAAGGTGAGTTTCTGAATCGTTAAGGCTGACTAATCATTGTAGTAAGTAATCTACGAAGTCAATGCCAATGATATCAGGCTTTTGCAAACTACTTTTTACGTAGATCTGGCCCCGGTTGTTCAAAGGGTGGTGTACGCTATCCTCTGGATAAATCTCTAACCGGCTTATAGTGAGGTACTTTTTGTTAATACCTCTTTACTGGGTAGCGATTTATCCGCCCTTTGAACGACTGGACTCAGTTTTCGATGTTTATGTGCTTTCAAAGGGAATTGGTGAAACTGAATTTCTTCCTGCTGTTGAAAGCAATTGATTTTAATATTGACAGGGGATAATCAAAAGTACGCAATACAGTGATGAAAAAATAGTTACTTGTATATCGATTTTCCGGAAGTTTGTTACTTTGCGACCATCAATATTATTGGTAACGCCGTGAAATTCAGTCAAACCCAAATGAATTAGTAATGATAATAATAATAATAATAATAGTAATAATAATGATAATAATAATAATAATGATATTTTAGCAGGGAGCCCACTATACCAAAGGCTGCTCTGCAGTGGGGCCCTGCAAAAGTATCTTACTGTCATTTTGTTCAAGTTACTTCTTGAAGAGAGTATTTTCATTGATTCACTAGTTAGATTCTGCGCAGTGTCATAAATTACCCACTGAACGTGTTATCATACAGCTATGTTATCGCCTTTAATAGCAACCCTTTCCTTTGCAAAAGTGTTGTTGTGATACAAAGGTTTTTCTTTCTTACCAGCTCCTGAAGCCCCTATTCCACGTAATGTTAGCGATGTTGAGGTTTCCGAAACAGCTGTTGATATTTTTCTGTGGCCCGTTGAACAAAAATATGGTCCAATAAGGTAATTATCAACACGAATGTGATTTGCTGAGGCACGAAAGAGTAATTTTTCACTGGCTGAGTGGAACGAAGTAAGTGAAAGATGTTTTTCTCACGCGCCGCTGGGGCCTGGGTATAGGTCATGTGACCTATGGGCGGGCAGTTGTTTTTGTTGCGTCCGCCATTGCCAACTCTCCTGCCCACCCACCCAAAGATTTTAAATATTTATACAATACCAGTATAATGTACTAGCCTGGAACATTTTTCGTTATTTCCGGTCTTAGTGTATGCTACTTGTATGAGCTTTGAATTTGCAATAAAGGTCAGGTTGCGGCGGTCAGCTTGACATGGCTACCAGCGGTGTGTGAGAAGGTTGATTTTGCCTTCACTACTCAACCGGACACACAAAGAGTTGATATCTGGGCGGGTTTGCCAGCCAAGCCACCGTTTATTTAACGCCGAATCGATATGCTAACACGAAAACCACTAAAAACCAGCAGGTGGAAAAAACGGGGAACGTGTACCCTCGACCAAGGCAGCAGTGCCACCCTTAGGGTTTTAGGGTATCCTATGAATGACATTTTTACATAGTTACTTAAGGTACTATGCAAGTACCGCTCTAATTTATACAAAAGACGAAAACGAAAAAGAAGAGCTACACAATGTGAAGACTGATCGTAGAATGCCTTGCCCTACTAACGACCTCTACTTACAAACCACGATTCCATAACTCCCCGCATACCTCGCAACCACCCCCAGTCCTCCAATACGTGCCGGCAAAATATGAATTTATGCTAAGTAGGATTACCACAAATTATATAATGATCCTTCCTTAAGATGAGGTAAGATTTCCAGCCATAATTCGAGAAATTAGGTCACGTGCGTACAGACTACCGATCAACCAACCAACAAAAGGGTCTCATCGTTGAAAATTCAATTTTTATAGTGATTTAGTCGGTTGAAAAAACTCTTGGTAAGCGCTTTTTACCTATAGTAAGCTTATGGCATGTTTTTGAAAGCGAGATAAACTCCAGCAGGAGGGTTCAAGTCCGTTATATGCACCCAATCATTGATTGAGTGCATATAACAAAATACACTTAAGTGTTATTTTTATGGCCTTTTCGGAGTTGGCAGTCATAGGTTAAGCATTTTTGTTTTTTACGTTTCAGTGCTTATCAAGTTATTGTTCTGAAAGTCGCTGATGGTGTTGAAGAGCTACCCGACAATTATGATTCAAAACTGAAAGGTGCAAGTGATGCTAATAAAGAGAACGTGAATTTTTACATCGCTGCTGAGATAAAAAATATCCCATTACTCGACAAACCTCGGAAATTTACTGTTGGGGATGGTAAAATAACTGAAGAATATGTGAATGAAGAACTTGAAAAAGGAGAAAACTACATTGTGTATGAGAGAGCTCTAACTAAAACCAAGAAGGTATGTAACCTTATTACTCCAAACATTTTCCTCTCATTGCAACCAGAACCATCTGGCCATGAGTGTGGTGAAACGGTTTGTCTTTTCTTTTCGAAAAACATATGTAATGTAAACCCAGTCCAGAATTGTTTTACTGCGGAGGAGGCGTATCCTAAACTCAGTAGAGTACCAACGTGCTTCCATTAGTTGTTTCCGTTGCTACTTTGATTTTGAAGCACGTGCATTTTTATGTGCTTCTTTTTTTTAATATTTTACAGGAGGAATTAAAAGGGAAAGCAAGGATGGTTGCCAAAATTTCCATCATCTCGACCACTACGGGTTTGTCTATAATTTTGTCTGATTTTCGCTATCGCATAAATAGCGCTCTCTACTGCGAGGATCGTGCATCATACGTATCTAATACCGCAGTTCAAAATATACGAACTTCATGTATTCATTGTATCTGATTTATCATCACGGGTTTATTACGAATCAACTTAACGGCCTGCTCCC